AAGTAAGTCAGTAGGTAAGTAAGTCAGTAAGTAAGTCAGTAAGTAAGTAAAGTAAGTAAGTAAAGTAAGTAAGTCAGTAAGTAAGTAAGTCAGTCAGTCAGTAAGTCAGTAAGTAAGTCAGTAAGTTAGTAAGTAAGTAAATCAGGAAGGAAGTAAGTAAATAAGTAAGTCAGTAAGTCAGTAAGTAAGTCAGTAAGTAAGTAAGTAAGTAAGTAAGTAAGTAAGCCAGTAAGTAAGTCAGTAAGTCAGTAAGAAAGAAAGAAAGTAAGTAAGTAAGTAAGTAAGTAAGTAAAGTAAGTCAGTAAGTAAGTAAGTCAGTAAGTGAGTCAGTAAGTCAGTAAGTAAAGTAAGTAAGTAAAGTAAATAAGTCAGTAAGTCAGTAAGTAAGTAAGTAAGTAAGTAAGTAAGTAAGTAAGTAAGTAAGTAAGTAAATAAGTAAGTAAGTAAGTAAGTAAGTCAGTCAGTCAGTAAGTCAGTAAATAAATAAGTAAGTAAGTAAGTAAGTAAGTAAGTAAGTAAGTAAGTCAGTAAGTCAGTAAGTAAGTAAGTAAGTAAGTAAGTAAGTAAGTAAGTAAGTAAGTAAGTAAGTAAGTCAGTAAGTCAGTAAGTAAGTCAGTAAGTCAGTAAGTAAGTAAGTAAGTAAGTAAGTAAGTAAGTAAGTAAGTAAGTAAGTAAAACCTGGGTTTACATTTTAACATTTGGAGTCCACCTGATTCAGCCACCACGGTCAATCAACCTCAGAAAACAAAATTGTCTCCAATTCAGTCAATTTTAAAGATGTTGGCTTAAAATTTGGTGTGGTAGTAGCAAAGAGTTTTTCCTATTTTAGGCTCTATAAGCACTAGATGATAGAATGATCGCAGTTTTTTAAAGTCATGATTGGAGTCAACTGCACCTGTCCGCAAATATCTCATGAACTCATTTTCTTGTGGTAGTTGAGAGTGATTCCCATCACACACCCTGAGGTGTTCCTCAGGTATCTGAACATAAMCAGGCATTTGTTACTCTTAAAGGGAAAAATATTGCCTATAACTTGTGCATTTTCTGCAGTTTTACTGTACAACCTGTAAGTTTTCCCATTTTCCCAGAACAATCACAAAACAAACAGCCCATCCAGGCTGCTCAACTCCCCCTCTCTCCTCCCTCTCCCCCAGCTCTGTTCTTGGCTCCCACTGAGTGCTTTCATCTCCGGCTCTGATATATAATTCATCGGAAAACATCTTACAGCCCTGGGGAGCGTTTCAGCTAAACGGGAGCCGTGGTTGTTAAAAGGTGAAGATGCTTGTTAACGTCTGTGGCAATATGCCCTCCCCCTGTCTCCCGGCAAACTGACAAAGCCGCGGGTCTCCTGCTGTCAGGGAGACGAACCGAAGGAGTCGTGGGACTGAGAGTCTCTCCCATCAGACACCGGGCCGTGGCTGGCAGGGAAGTCTTCTCCTCCTGTCTGTTTGTTCTCCTTAAACTCAAACTGGAGCCCGATCTTTGGTTCAAATTTGGAACAAAAATGCAGCAGAGAAGTCACATCTTTATATTTAGTCAAATGTGACTTCCAAGACTTCGGCCGTCTGAGTGTTTCAAGGTCAAATCAGAGACTTGGCCCTCCTCACCGGGCCCATCTGTCACACGCTGACGTCCTCAGAACTAGACTGGACAAAAGCAAAGAACTTACCACCCACAGATTTATTGATAAAAGCTCAGTTTTAGGAGCTATAATTGTTTTTATTGACGTGTCCAAATGAGCGTCTGTAGATATTGACCTGTCTGATCAGAAGAGGGCAGGAGGTTCAGTGGAAAACAACAGAGACAATAACCTGTTTGAGTTTTGCAAATCGATCAAGGTGTTGAATTTTATAACAGTAATTTAATTTCTGATCGGTGCAGTTTGTTTTAAACTCTGACATGCACAATGGTTGACAGTTTGACTAATGGCCTTTTTTTGGCTTTGTAAGAAGGTCTTGTGCCCACTTTTGCAAAATTCATGATTTTAGCTGATCCACAATCAGTAACTTGTCGAAGTTTTCTCTTTATGAAGCACAAATCACTGATTTTAGGACACAAATCCGGACGTCATACTCACCTTGCATGACCCCATATTGTTGTAAGTTATTCTATTAAAGGGAAAATATGTTGTTTTAATGTTAGAATAAGCTTCTCAAAATGAAAAGATATTTAACAACTTGAAAACAGACATGGATCAATTTAGTGGTTTGTTTCCATCAAAGGTATGAGGATCCTTTTGTCCCAGGCAGATTTTTCAAGATGTTTCATCCGATAAAATGTTTTGTAGAAAATTAGTAGTATCACTGACAGTGTTATCATTACAATAAATGTACAATAAAAAGAAAAATGATGTGAAGATGATCTCGCAGGTTCATCTGCTGCTTCCTTCATTGTACTTTAGGGTGTCCATTCCTGGTCCTCGAGGGCCACCATCCTGCATGTTTTACTCGTTTCTCTGCTCCAGCACACCTGATTCAGTGACTGAATTGCCTCTTCCAGTTCTGCAGAAGCCTGGTAATCACACATTTATTCAAATCAGTTGGGCTGGGGCAGAAACCTCCAAAACATGCAGGATGGTGGCCTTCAAGGACAAGGCTTGCCTACTCTTGTTTTAGAGCAGGGGTGCCCAAACATTTTCCCCGAGGGGGCCAAAATGAAAATCTATCCATGGCTGCGGGCCAAATGCAGTTATATAATACATGAAATACAAATACTTTTTTAAAGTAAAGTCCTTTATTTTTAACGATTAAGCA